AAACACTTATGAATCCATTGTGTTGTCCATGGCCAAAACGGACACAACGATAGAACAGAATGGAGTTAAGACTCTATTGTGTGAATGTCATTGTCTCGGTGTACAGTATGGAGGAATAGTTCAAGGCATTATGACCACTAGGCCGCCAGTACATCCGATGATGTTTACTAAGAAAGGTTCAAAGCCAAAAGCTATCTTTTCTGATGCAATAGAGTTTTGTGAGGATTGAGCACAAGAGTCTGTATATATGTGTATTTCTTTACTTTCTCTTTTGTGGGGGATTGTTAGAAAAAGAGTTAGTAAAGATGCTCTTGCCCTTTTGCCCACTTGTCCACATGATGACCGCCCAATTCCACATGCAATTGTGAATAATATACATATATATATATATATATATATATATATATATATATATATATATTGGATAGTTGGAGCGGCTAGCCACACAACTTATACAGAAAAATTTGTTTATATGTATTAAAAATTGCAATTTGAATTGCAATTGGCCAATTTGAGGCATCAGCTTTCACTATAAATAGAGGGCCTCACTAGAAGGAAAGGACGCACCAAGAAGAGGAAAAGAGAGAAAAGAAAGAGAAAGAGAAAGGAAAGAAAAGATAGATTTATGTCCAAATATCGGATATAAAAAATATGAAAAGAGAGAAACAAGTGATATTTTTATTTATTTTAAGATATTCATTTTATTTTTAAGTGCTCAATTTTCGACTCCGTTCCCGTTCGCCGGAGCTCGTAAATCTGGTGTGCTACAGATTTAGAGACGTTTGCTGTTGTATCTTTGGGGAAGTTACGCCTGAACCGTTAGCTGCCACACGGGGCGTATTCTTCTTGCGGAAAGAGTTTTACTCGCCTCGGCTATAAAATCTTTCCGTTTTCAGTTGTAATTTATTTTTCAGTTCAATTGTAATTTTCTATTTTTAGATTATTTGTAAGAACTGAAAATACACATCAGTTCGTAGGATTCCCGTGTAATTTTGACACCAAATATCCAACAAACAAAAGGTTATTCTGTAGTTTCGCATAAAGCTAAAAGTTATTTGATTTAATGAATGCGTTCAAAATGTACAATCTTTCTATCCGAATTGCACGTGACCCAGAAAATAAAAATAGGAAGATCGGACACTCTCTAGTCTCTAAGCTGAGTTAGTTTTACAAAGATTGCAGAAGCACCAAATATATTGAATTATGAAGATAATTGAAATCATAAAAGTGTTTAAAAAATATGTGAGTGAAATTAAATAACATAATACTAATCTATACTACTCTGACTCAGACAACTACAATGCACTGTCAGCCATACAATCGTTGGACAAATCTCACATCAGCTGGAGTCTAAGAAAATAATGTACTGTACAAACATGTTTATGGGTGCAACTCTATCATAATACGTGATGTGCCGTCAACTGCAGTCTCCAGACTGATCAACAGTTTCTATGTTCTTCCGCCAAATAATTTGCAGACTATTACTCCAACCTTATCGCTCTTAAAGTAATCTCAATCGTGCATCAATTACATTAACCTACTTATCTTGGGTGTTGGGTGTGGTCGGTGGAAGCGCGGTGTCTCTACAGGAGTGGTGGTGGTAAAGATTATCTAGGACGAACACCGCTCATTAAAATTTTCGCATAATACCCAACAAATGATCCAAAATTGAGCTATTTTTTTTTTTTTTTTACTTACTTTGAACATGCAAAGAAACTGATCCAAAAAACTAAAGACAACCACGATTTAATGTCCTCATATCAGCAACCCAACTTAAATGAACTGAACACGAAATTAAACAAAGAAAATAAATCCATTTTTTACTCATTGAAGAACCAATTGTCCATGAGCAGTAGCAGGTGTCAGATAAACTTTTGAGAGACCATACAAACAAAAGCACGAACATAATGTATAAGGATCTGAAAGTACCTGGAAAAGAGAAAAAGTCGCGGCGGCGATGCTCCATAGGAGTTTGGACTATTGGAGGCGTGGAGAGCTTTAGATGCGGCGGTTGCGGAGAAACGACGACGACTGGTTAGTACTGGAGGTTATGAGGTGGCACTCGAGCTTTCGAGATTTGTAACGGCGCTGTTCGACATGCGGGCTCGGAGAAGTTCGGTGCACAGAGAGAAATGGAAGGACACTGTGTAGGAAAAAGCACCGTCAAAGAAAGGCGGTGGTAAGTAAGAGATAATAAATACTGAACAAACTTTCATTGGGTCGAAATACCAAAAGTTTTTTGCTAAGTTATGTATACAAACAACAAAGAAATGCAAAGTTGTCGGGCAGCAGAGTTACCTGATTTACTGGCGAGCACCATGATCTCCCTGACGCCCGAAAGACTTTCTAACTCAGCGACCTGACCAGTGTAGAATACACTCATCTAGTCGGGTTCGCCTTTTCGGGCCATGAGCCCGAAAGACTTTCTAACTCAGCGACCTGAGCAGTGTAGAATACACTCATCTAGCCCGGGTTCGCCTTTTCGGGCCATGAGCCCGAAAGACTTTCTAACTCAGCGACTTGACCATCTAGCCCAGCTTCGCCTTTTCGGGCCATTAAAATGTACACAAAAAATCATAAAATGAATTACAAAAAATTAAATTAAAAATCCACCAGCAATTTTTTTCGAATCAAGATAAGGAAAATGAAGAAAAAAAAAAGTAATGGAAATTCGAAATTGAAAAAGTAATATGGCGATTGAGGATCTCACCTTTAGGCCCGACGGAGAATCCGAAGCTTACACCTTCACAACAATGGCGTCTTCGTTTCTGCAGAACCTAGGGGAAAATGCTCGACTTCAAACTTTGTTCCACGAATCTTGCGACAAATGGAAATAAATCGAATTGAAAAGCAAAGCCTGAACAAGAGAAGAGCTCACATCCAAAGCTTCCACCTCTTCGCAACAATGGCGTCGTTCGTTTCTGCAGCGAGGGCAAAATGACCGATTTTTGCTTTTTTATCGGTAAGAAACTTGTAAATTCATGAAAATAAAGAGTATTTTGGTCTTTTCGCACCAAAATTTGAGGGTAAGAATGGTATTTTGAAGACGGGATTATTTTGTTCCGGGAGGAGACAGGATTTTTTTTGTCCAAGAATAGCAGATAATCTCCTATGCTACCTGGATTCAGATATAGATGGTGTATCGGGTGTGTAGATATAACCGTCCGACTCGCTAATAATGTAGAAATCTTGAACATTTTAGACTAAAATGCCACACACAACACTCATTCCCACACCAATCTCAGACACAACATAGTCTCTTGCCACATGGGCGCATATTCCCATCCGAATCCCAATCGGGACAAGTAAACGTAAAAATAAAATAGCTGGATTATTTTTCTTATCTTCCTGTCCACGAAGTAAACGCCCCACAATAAGGGAGATACGTGACACATTTATATATATATACATATATATATATATATATATCTTTTTTATCAATTAAGATAAAAAGATTCCGTCGGCCCGACAATCAGCCGACGAACGCCTGCCTGATTGTAAACATGAACTTCTTCTCCAAAAAACCTACGGCCAAAGGTTTGATATCCTTAATGTTATTTCCTTTTTTTTTTTCTCCTGAATTTTACTGTGTTTATTTCAATGTTTCTTCTGAGTTCTATCCGTTTATGATTGAATCTTGTTTGCCACTTGTGAATCCCGAATTGATAGTTTTTAGTTTCACTTCTCGACAGCTTGAGCTTTTCAAATCATCGTTTTCTGAATTTTTAATGGATTTCATCGTATTTATTTATTTGGTTATATATATATTTTAATTTACTTTTTTCGACTCAATTTTGCTCTGCTTTGATTTGGCAGAGGCTTTAAGGGAAAGCAAGCGAGAAATGGCGAACGCGACTAGAGGTATTCGGAGGCAAATTCGACCCTACTGATGAGCTTTTTTTTATTTTTTTTATTATTTTTAACCATTATATCATATGAACACAAGCTTGTTATTTGATGATCTTGGCCTTTTTATAATAAAGTTTATTTAATGCCTTGATCTTCGAATAAATTGGCAGACACGAATCTTAATTGAATCAGAGAAGTTGGGATTTGATGGATAAGTGATTATATTTGTATCTAATGGGAAATAAACGGGCGAGCAAAACATCGTACGTATACGAGAATGTGTACATTTGATGGTTTTATGTAGTGTTTGGAGCAGTCAAAATGTAGATGGAGTTTTGATCAGAACACAAGAAAAAAGTAGGTTAAATGTTCCTGTATAGGATCACGACTTTTATCATTGTTGCCCGTCTTAAATCCTAAATTTCATCGACATTTGTGTGTGTGTGTGTGTGTGTTTTTCTTTTTTTACATTGAGTCGATTATCTCATCGTTAATTGCAAAATTTACTTTAATGTGTGATCTTTTGGTTTGTGTGTCTTATTCAGGTGTAGAAAGGGAAATACACACATTGCAATTAGAAGTATGTCAAGTTTCTCCACTTATATCATATACATATGCATCTTTTTTTTTTTCATATTTCTTTATGTAATATTTCGGTTCGTAATTGCAGGAAAAGAAGCTTGTTGCCGAGATCAAGAGAACTGCTAAAACAGGGAATGAGGTGCTTATTAGAATGTTTGAATCACTTGACTTGAGAAAAAAACTACATCCGAAGCTCGATAACTATTTTAGAAAATACATTTAATCAATTTTCTTTTTTTTTTTTTTTTTTGCTCAACAATAAATTTTATTGTTTTAGGCAGCAACCAAAATTCTTGCGCGCCAGTTAATTAGGCTTCGGCAGCAAATTTCCAACTTACAAGGTAGTCGAGCTCAGATGAGAGGTATAGCAACTCACACACAGGTCAGTAATTATATGTATAGTCACACTTGACGGCAATTTTTCTGTTATTTTTCCTTAACGTGTTGTAATATGAGACATTAATATAAGTTATGTTAACAACGTATGACCATTCACAGGCAATGTCTGCTAACACTTCTGTTGCTGTTGGCATGGAAGGTGCCAGTAAAGCTATGGCAGCAATGAATAAGGTGTGATTCAGCTTAAACTTAATTGTCCTTTTGTGATCTTTTTTTTTTTTTTTT